ACCCAATAATATCGTTGGACCCACGCGGACCTAGTTTGGATTAGTGGGTGCTAACGATTGCAAATACAGACGAGACCATCATCTTAACGTGCTTTACACGGGCAGAACAAGATTATGACCGATCAATGCGAAAGTTGCTTGACTACCACAATTGAGCTCCTGCAAAATACGTTACGATATCGCCGTGTTAATGGGAAAACCAACTAAGTGCCAATTTTTGCATAACAGAGTTATAATACAGAACTCTAAAACCCTCTTTAGTTGTAATATGTATACCTACACAAGAACAACAGTAACAGATAGTGAAGAACCTAACGATTAAGTAAGGATTTTTTATAAAAAAATATATTGAAATCAAAATAAATTGATGGCGCAACGACTCTTTTATACAACTTTAGAGGGGAGTATAAAAGGTATTTGCAATATCTAACGATACTACAATTACTCTTTCTCCTCGACTCAATGCCCTATCTGTGACTTCACAAAGCGCCAACACCAAGGCCACGTCACGATGGAACATCCCCTCCATATTTTGCTAACATCTTTATGTAAAAAGGGTGTTAAACGGCCACCAGTGTTGCCATTGATACGGCAATTACCGTAATATACGGCAATTTGAGCTCATAATTTTAGATTATATGGCATACGGAAGGTTTGCCATTGCCGTATAATAATACTAACTACCTATAAATTTAAATAAATAAAATTAGGTAATACGGCAATATCATGATTTTTATTTAAAAATACGGCAATCTGATGTATCGAATACTGCAACTCTTTCAAACTTGATGGCAACACTGGCGGCCACTAAAGCCTAAAGACGACGATACCAAAAATTACACTCGCACCGTTGCCTACCCTGACCCACGTTACCTCACTATGGACTTCATTCTGTGTGCTAACGTCATTCGTAGTCTATTCATCCGATCTGCCATCTTAATTACAGTTTATACGAGACACAACCAATTACCCCACTCCACCTGATGTTAAGTGAAAGTGGAGTCCAGTCGCGAAGATAGATGATGCGGCAGAAAGTGTGACGCTGTAATCCCATCCTCACCTAGCCGGCCTGAACCCAATCCTCTACCCCGTGGAGCCCTGGAACCCTACTCACCGCGAGAATCACACCACCACCAAAAATTATTTTGTTATTTTACTGTGATCTTCTATAAGGTTACTTACCGTTACTTCTCTTAAACTAATACTAATATAATGATAAGCTAACTTTTACATGGTGAATATAAATCTCATGGATGCACATCGATGTATAATATACTATTTTATCTTCATCCATGCTTTTAAAGATTCTGAAGAAGCTTATTGTCAACATTAAAACATCCAATGTTATAATTTAAAAAGGAACTAGTGTGCTTATGACCACGCGATCGAAGTGAAACTTCTTTAGCTCCATCTGTATATATATATTTATGTATGTGTACAATATATACATGTATGTACATATACATATTTCATTTACTAGCTATAAGATAGAGAGAGAAATGTGCGCGCGCACTGCTTTCTCTTGCTTATATCCCCCACTCAACTCCCGTTCGCCTCGCCCGATTACACTTTTCGTAACGTGTTCGCCAGCTTACTCCGCAAGTCAAGCGTGCGTAAAGAACTTTCACTTCAAAAAACTATTATACTAAGTATTTTTTTATTTCATAATAACACTCTTTCGCTTTTTAAATCCTTTCCGCACCAATGGCTGGATGCGTGGATATGAATTCAAAAATAAGAACATTGTCATTCACGCGTGCTTCACTACCACAGCGCCGAAACTTTTCTTTCATTAATTTAAAGTTCTTAGAGCTTCCCATGGTTTCAGTATCTTTTATAGAGGATTCATATCATGGGAGTAGATAGATAAAGTCTTGTATGCAACTGATATAATGATACTATTATCACCTTCGTGTTTTAATAACGGTACAAAATCAGCCGGATCTCATGTGAAAATAGGCGTTCCTCAGGGTTCAATTTTAGGTCCATTTCTTTTTTTAATTTACATTAATGATTTACCTTTCTTTGTAGAAAATTTTTGTGAAATTGTTTTGTTTGCAGATGACACCTCGCTAATTTTTAACGTTGACAGGTGTAAAACAAATTATGACGATGTAAACAATGCACTTTCCAAGGTACTTCACTGGTTCTCTTCTAATAATCTTAAACTGAATGCGAGCAAAACTAAATGTGTGAAATTTACTTTGCCGAATGTAAAGCATGTTGAAATGGGGGATATAATTCTAAATGGTGAAAAACTAATTTTAGTCGATACAACCGTTTTCTTAGGCGTAACACTAGACCACAAACTTCAATGGAACCCTCACATTACAACACTAGCCGGTAAACTAAGTTCTGCTGCTTATGCAATTTATAAAATAAGACGGCTTACAGATGTCGACACTGCTAGGACAATATACTTCAGCTACTTTCACAGCATTATGTCATATGGCATTCTATTATGGGGCACGGCCGCAGACATTGAAACAGTTTTTATTCTTCAAAAACGAGCTATAAGAGCCATTTATCGCTTGGGATCTCGAACTTCTCTTAGGGATAAATTTAAAGAAATAGGTATAATGACTGTTGCCTCTCAATACATTTACAATTGTATATTGTTTGTGCGTCAGAACATAAATTTATATACGAGGCGCGATGATGTACATAATTTCAATACCAGAAATAAAGATAAACTCAAATTGCCACCATTGAGACTCCAAAAGGTTCTTGGTTCATTTGTGGGTCAAGGTATATGTTACTATAATAAAATACCAAAAGAAATAATTAATTTACCTTTTAATAAGTTTAAAGTGTGTATAAAAACATGTCTCCTTAAGAAAGGTTACTATACTGTAAAAGATTTCATAAATGATAAGTCACCTTGGGCTTAACATAATAGACTGTCTTTTTACTTTGCTAATTTGGTTGAAAATTGTTTAATCGCCACTTCTAAATTTAAAAATAGTACCTAGTTATACTTAACTTTTGTTAATTAATAATATTAATGTGATGGAAGTTGACATCAACACATGTATTCAATTTTTGATGTCATCTTTCAATTGACGACACTGTGTGAAACAAAACAGGGAGAAAAAAATAGCCCTTGCTGAGTTTCTTGCCGGTTCTTCTCAGTACAAGGTCTCCCGCCGTAGATTTACGAACCGATGGCGTAGCGTTTGACTTTCACAAGAGCTTGTAACAGCCTAGACTGAATAAATGAGTTTGAATTTGAAATTTGAACTCACTATACAACAGTTGCATAAATAACTATTATGGCATTATTAGAGACTTCGGGAAAACAACAATTACTGAACTAAGAAGACAAAATTTGTTTCATACAACAATGCTTAACGCAAGTTACAAATACGTTATTACTTCACAAGAGATTTTCTTTGTTTAACCTTTGTAATGAAATATCGTATTTCTGTAATTTGAAAATCCAGTTGTTTTCCCCATTAATACGACGATATACGAAAGTTTAAGCTATAATGATACTGTCTAGAACTTGCGTAAGTTTCACATATTGGGTAAGTTTAGAACTTTAAGGTTCTTTGCCACCTGGGTTATAAAAAACCGTTCTCACTTCTCATGTTTCACTTAAACTACTTAAACAATCCCTGTCACCATTCCACTTATATGCCCATACGCTTAATCATAAATTTAACAACTAGCATAGTCATCGCTATTCGCTCACGTCATCTCGACGGCCTAGCGAACTATTGTCTAGCGCTTTATTGATTTACGAGTAATGGTTTATGAAGAATGTATTGTAGGTACTTACAAAGAAGACTTTCAATTAATTGTTCAGCTACACAAAAGAAATTTAGTAGTTTTTCCTAGCAATGAAACACCTCAATCTGATTCATACTTTTAAAAAAAATATTTATTTCGAATATTTTCGACTAAGGATGTACTTATACCAATACGGCTATACACAAAAATATTTCCTATCTAACGACGGTATTGCACTCTATGTCGGACGGATAAACAATGATTCCATACGACCTCAGTGGTCGAGTGGTTTGTACGCCGGGTTTCATGGTATCGCCGACTCGAGAAGTCCCGGGTTCGAATCCCGATGGGGGCAGATGTTTTTGTGATGAATACGAGCATTTGTACTCCAGTCATGGATGTTTAATATGTATTTCTATATAAATATACTTATATATGTACCGTATATGTATTCTATCCGTTACCCTAGCATCCCATAACACAAGCCTTACAGTGCTTACTTTGGGACTTGACTAATTGGTGTGAGTGTTGGAAATATTTATTATTTATACATTTGACAGTAATTTCGGATTAGTTTTATATACCCACTTACGTACCCTTGCCCTCGTAGGGTCTCGTAGCAGAGCACAGCGATAATGTTAATATACCTAATAATAACATGTTCTTACATCTAACGATCAAATTCCATACTTTAACAACTGACAATCGAGCGTGATAAAACGTGTAGCTAAATATATAACATACCGCGATGTTCCCGGTAATGATGAAGGGTGTAATTTACTTATGAAAAATGTTAGGGTTTCAATATAATACCATCCCGATTTCCAGGGCGATTGTAGTTTCTGGTGGATTTCGTAATATAATTTAATGTAAATTACGCAGACAACAAAACAGAATAAACAGAATCAGGCGATTACGTCTTCCGTTCACAAAGGTACTTACTACACGGGACCTTGTACTGAGAAGAATCGATCAGAAATGAAAAGAGATGAGATTACAGTAGCCACAGGCTCATTAAAATTTGCCGTATAGAAAATGTGTGTCGCCATTGTGGGGCATCTGGGGGCAAAGTAGCCATTCCTATTTTAGAAGAGCCTGTGGAAGCCTTAAATACATTATATAAAGGTGAAATTGATGAATCACGACTGTTCTAAAACCGCGTAAAAAATCCAACCCATGCTTGCTCACGACGTCATTCAGGGCGGACAAATTCTTGCTATGTTTGGATTTCCCCAACGTTCACAGTGCAAGGCCAACTACATCACAAAATGGGATCACTGTTGCCACCACTTAATGAACAGCCACAATTTTTACAGATGTATTTTATGGGAGACGACGACGCGTCGACGGAAACTGACGATCGGTGTCAAATCATTCTAGGTATGGAGCGAGTAACTGTGCCAGGGAGACGAGTTTGCTCGCACGTTGCTCTATGTAGAAGTGCCAAGGCATTACACGTGGAATGCGTCACGAAAAGAATGGAACGTCGCGTGCAGGGCGCACTCGTCGACGGTTGGCCTGGTGTGAAAGCCTTAGATGCCCCCGGTAGAATTTATTCCGTACACATAACACACTTTGAGTGTTACTGTGTACGGTTGCTGTTGACTAGAATACGGGGTCCTACCAGTTTTCAAGCGCTCAAAATCGTCGTTGGGCAGGAAAAGGCCACTTTCCAAGAAGCATGTGAAGCGATGGAGCTGCTTGAAGACGACGGCCACTGGGACGCAACGAACGAGTACGCAATGTTGTGCCGGTCAGCGACTACGTTGAGAAAGCTCTTTGCGATTATGAGAAGCACCTGCGGACCCTCCAACCCCCGGCAATTGTGGGACAAGTATAAAAACACTTTGTCAGAAGACATTGCTCGCCGATACCAAGGGATAACACTAGCCGACGATGACATAATTTTTAACGAAGCGCTGAAAGTATTTTTTTCTTAGACGCACCAGGGGGCGCCGGTAAAACTTTTTTAATGAACTTACTGCTGGCACAGTTGTGCAAAGACAAAGTGGTTGCGCTGGCTGCTGCGTCCTCCGGAATAGCCGCAACCTGGCTGAGTGGTGGCAGAACCGGACACTACGGACCGACGTATTCAAGCTCCCAGTAGATAGCAACATCAGTAAAAGTAGTAGTCGCGGTGCTCTATTGCAATGATGCAAATCGATCGTATGGGACCGAATCGAATCTTGATGGGTGGAGTGGTCGTTTTGCTGGCAGGTGATTTCCGGCAGACGTTACTGGTTACCGAGCGAGGTACCGCGGTAGATGAGATAAACGCATGCCTCAAGGCTTCGCCGTTGTGGGCTATACCTTATAGTGTTCTTAAATTCCCTACCTGTCAGGGCTGTCTGTCTGCCTATCATACTGATGCGTAACCTGGACGCGCCCAGACTGTGCAACGGCACTAGGTTACGCATCACGGAGCTTAGACGACACATCGTCCAGGCCACCATTCTTACTGGAGGGGCCAAAGGAGAGACGGTATTGATACCTAGAATCCCTATAATACCCACAAACATGCCCTTCCAGTTCAAACGCCTACAATTTCCTATAAAAGTGGCTTTCTCTATTACGATAAATAAAAGTCAAGGACAAACTCTAAAAGTAGCCGGCATTCACCTGGACACCCCCTGCTTCTCCCACGGACAACTGAACGTGGGTTGCTCGCGTGTGTCGAGAGCAAGAAATCTTTTTATTTACGCAGAAAACAATAAGTCCCACAATGTTGTTTACCGGGATGTCCTACAGTAAAATGATTTCTAGGTCTAGCTCTACGACCCGAGATAAAAACCAATTACATAAGACAGCACAATCAACTGTCCCGTTCTGTCAGTCATCAAATATTGTAAAATGATCTTTCCGGTGTTTAAGTTTAAATTATTTTGCTTCTAAAAATGTCATTGAATTTGTCAAAATTGAATAGTCATTGTTTTTACTGTTAATACACAATTTATTTTCCCTAATAAGCCGCGGGTAATACCGCGGGGCACAGCTAGTTTAAATATAAATTTCATATCAATATTAATACAGAATATTCTACTATTATAAAGAGGTAACGACCTGCCTCACACGACACCACTGCAGAGATTTTAAGGAGAATTTAAACATTCATAACTTAGTATTTATATTATATCACTTGAAGTGAAATCTTATCCCCATATAGGTATAGCATGACCACCGCAATCTACATTATAACATGGTTTTTTATCGCGTTTAACTGTCAAACTCCATACTAATTTAACAATGACAACCTCCGTGACCGAGTGGTTTGTACGCCGGGTTTCATGGTGTCGCCGACTCGAGAGGTTCGACTCCCGGTGGGGGCAGGTGTTTGTGTGATGGATACGAGCATTTGTACTCCAGTCATGGATGTTAAATATGTATTTCTATATAAATATACTTATATATGTACAGTATATGTATTCTATCCGTTACCCTCGTATACCATAACACAAGCCTTACAGTGCTCACTTTGGGGCTAGGATAATTGGTGTGAGTGTTGAAAATATTTTTTTAATGGAGCGTGATACAAACGAGCTATTTAGCATATCGCGGTACTCATAGTAGGGGGGGCTGTAGATAAAACGTAAAACTTATTTGCTTACTATTTCGTATCCAACTAACGAGTATTTCCAACATAGGTGCCTGTTTATTGCGATACCTCCATGGAGGCGGTAAATCAGAAGAGCACAAAATGGGCGGAACGCGCCTGACGTATTTTAATCTGTTTTCGATGTTGGCTGATTTCATAGTATTTACTGGCACGATCACCCGATCGATACAGCACTAGCCAACCGCGATATTTTACCTCGGAAATTAAATTATATCTTAAATATCTTACATGCCCTCAGATTTCGAATAAGGTAGCGTGATTTTTAATTTGATTGTGCTTAAAAATGTACAATGATCCCGATCCCGTGCTTGCGCATTCTACTCATACTCTTGGCGCTATCTTCTTTAATGGGCAGACCAAAAAAAAGATACGCTGACACTCGGGTAACTAGTAGCTAATAGACATGTCAGTAATAAAAAGTATTCAAAAAGAACGTAAAAAACAAGCTGATATTATACTAAACAAAATAATAACTGATAAACGACCTTTATTACGAGCTTAGACCATTAACTCAAACGTGTCGCCAACGTTTAGGAGTTACGGAAACCTCTTACCTTCGGGATAGCTCTATGCATGTTTCCGACTCTTTTGAATTAAAAGAACCTTAGGAACCCTAAAAAGGTTCAAAAACTGAGAGTCACCGTCAAATTGGTGTGTAACCAATTATCCGCATTAGGGATAATGCGCAAACTCCTAATGTAACAGCAAAACCCTTGTCCAAAGTAGGTCAACGATGAAACAGCCCCCAAAAAAATACTTCCAACCACTTAGTATTTAGCTGGTTGTAAAAATAACGCCCGCAGAAATAGGCGCTGAGAAGTGACTAATTTTCAAGCTTCGGCATTCAAACTTAAACGGAATGATACTGTGATATAGATAACTTACATGTACTATACTGAGCTGACGTGAACTCGGCACGCCTATCCGCTCTACAAATATAGAACTTGAACTTATATCACACTATGTCTGCTGTACAATTCACAAGTAGGTAAACAACCAAGGAACTGTAGATATTCTGCAAGATTTAAAAGTAGTTTTAATAATAATAATTTATTTATTTCAGGCAAAAGACCCATAAGGTTAATACATACTAAATTATCTAAAAAATAAAATAGGACTAGCTGAATATTTATTTCAGACTGTTATTTCCAAAACGATGTAATTTAGTCCAATGTTAAAAAAATACATTGTCGACGTCGTCGTGGATGTTGCGGAGAATGTAGTTCCCACTTTTACGGAGCCTTTCCCAGAACGAAGCGGACCGCGATCTGAGGATACAAAAAAAATCAGGAACATTTGCTTCAGCAAACATTTCCTTGGCACTACAATATCGCGGTTTTTTCAGCAGGATGCGAAAGGCGTCTTTGTATTGGATTCGCAGCACAATAAACAAACGTTTTGTATATCTCAACCAAAGTCGACATGTATAAAACGTTTGGCAGTACGCTTTAAACAACATTATCTTGACGTCTCTCGAACATCCGCCGAACCGCCTTGCGAGCATATTGCACCTAGTCGCAAGAGCACTTCTCTCCCTCTCCTTGTCGTCCTCATCTTTGAGCTGTCCATTTAATATATGACCCAGATATCTGAACGTCGTTACAACCCGAATTGGCGAACAATACAGCCACACCGGTGGAACGTTTACCGGACCCTTTCAGTTCCGAAAAACAACGACTTCAGTTTTAGCAACATTATATTTCAATGCATGTTCCCCTGCATAGGACTCTCATATTGAAAGAAGCTTTCGAAGTTCATTAATCGAGGGACTTAGAAGAACCATATCGTCGGCGTAGCTCAGGTTGTTAACACATACGTTACCAACATAGCAGCCAACCCTGGCTCCTCTGAGTCTCTCGATCAATCCATTGACGTACAGATTAAAAAGATCCGGTGACGTCAATCCTTCTTGACGAACACCGCAGTCTAATCTAAACTTATTAGATGTCGCGTCGCCCCATCTTACAATGTTTGTTGGAGTTTTGACCTTACATAAAACTGCAGCCGAAAAGCCTTATTCTCCGAAGAGCAAAATTGCCAGAACTTAGCAAGATAGAAAAATTTATATCAGGCCTCAAGATAATTAGTGGGCGTATGAAGTAACATGCTTTAAGGGGTTTTGAACCCAAAGGGTAAAAACGGGAAGTATCCCGACAAACAGACCGACGGACAGTGGAGTCTTAGTCACATTTCTAAGACTCCACTATCCGTTGGTCTGTTTGTCTGTCACCAGGCTGTATTTCATGATAGCGAGACAATTAAAATTTTCACATATGATGTATTTGTATTGCCGCTATAAAAACAAGTACTAAAAACAGAATAAATATATATATTTTTATATATACCTGTATTTAGGCTCCGGACTGTCATACAAAAACATGATTTTTGCTCGACATTATAATATAGTATCTAATGTTGTATATTTAATCGTACAGACCCTAAATGCGCGAGTCCTATTCATCGTCGTACAACAGCTGTCCTCGCAACTAGACTCCACGTAAGTATATGTTACTTGGTGCGAAAGATTTTCAGATTTAAAAAGAAGAACAGTTTTAATCAAAGATTAAGCAATTTTTTTCAGGAACATTGATTTCGATACACTTTTAATCATCTTGCGTAGTACAAAGTAGTTTTGATATCATGAAAGTTAAAATATAATAATTAAAAAAAAAAGAAACGCAAATGACGTCATAAGGAAATATGGGATATTTTGTGTTAAATAAAAAAGCGGAGTACTTAAACTGTAGAAGCTTAAAAAACTCAGTTAAATACTAGTCATCAATCAATGGATGAGTTTAAGACAAACCATAAAATCTAATATTGATATTCCATAAAAAGGAAATTATCATTTCATTCCGTATTTTTAAAAATTTAGAAAAGCGCTTTTATTAGAAGTAAAGTTATTTTACAACATTATTCGCTGACCTTATTTTTTCACTATCCAAGCCTCGTAATTTAAGGGTTAAATGTATTAACCGTTATAAATTCAATAAATAATGAAAAAGATAGGGCCGACCCTTCAGAGCGAAATGAACCCTATCCCCGCGGGAATAAAGTCCACGCACCTGTGACCCTTGGCATTAAAGTGTTGAAATTCTTAACGCGTTTACTCGGGCAGTAATAGGAGCTAGTGGTTTGGAAAAAGGCCGCCTGTGGTGCTCCTATATGTCATTATACTACTAAGCTTTAACGCAAATATTTTACGCAGTATTGTTTAAACATCTTCCTATAGCTTCCCATGCTGGACTGCCAGCGTAAATAGTTAACCTATTAATGGACAGAAGATATTCCAAAACTCCTGTGGGTTGTATGTCAAGTTTTATGGTTTCAGAACAATATCTTCTTCAACATTAAGCAACAAAGAAAAGACAATACAGGGGATCCGCGGTCAAAAAAGTTTGGAAACCCTTGCTATAGGGAATGAAAATGAGAGACTGCTACAAATTACGAAAAATTATGTGAAGTGCCAAATGTGTCAAGTACGCATATCTCGC